CCCCCCCCCCCCCCCCCCCCCCCCCCCCCCCCCCCCCCCCCCCCCCCCCCCCCCCCCCCCCCCCCCCCCCCCCCCCCCCCCCCCCCCCCCCCCCCAAACTGATTTCTTTATTTCCATGATTTCTTTGATTTATGATTTTCAGTGATTTCTTTGATTTCTTATGATTTTCAGTGATTTCTATATCTGGAAATCAGTTCCCCCCCCCCCTTGTTGTTTACATTTCCATTTGCGAGAGAGAGAGAAAACAGATAATATGAGATAATCTTTAGAGAAATAGTAAAAAAATTACGATTCACCTTAGGGATCAAATGTTTAGGTCATTTCTTTCAGAGAAACTTCAATTATTGTTTTTCTTTTTGATCGGTAACCGAAAATTAACAAATTTTCATTGTTTTTATTCGATGAAAAGCAGGAAAAGAACAAAAGATTTCACACCGCATAACCATCATAATAATTCAACATTCTCTTTGAAATACTAAGAACAATTAATCATTACGAGTTTTTTGTTCCAACAATGAGATAGTACAAAAATGAACCAAGTATATATGATTTAATATATTTTAATTTTAAAATATCAATGCAATGCAAAAGAAGAGGGCATATTTATTATTTTAAAACCTGCTAGGTTTATTATCAGTGTCCATCAGTATGCCATTGACAGAATCAGTCAACGTTTTCAATTGTATGAGGTTATTATGTTCTTTGAAAATTTTTTCTGATAATTTAAATGTAACAAATATTGTTATCGATAACAACGTAGCAAACATAATAAGACAAAAAAGTTGACCACCTCCAACATGATCTACTTCCATGGTATATTCAACAATCGAGTGAATAATTTGTAATAATTCACCAATTAATAAAATTCCACTGGCTCGAACGATGTCTGCATTATAATCAGTATACAATACAGCTAAAATACTAGCCGTATGATAGAGTAAGATATAAATTGAATTAATAACAAAACCAACAATCAATGAAATTTGCTTTCCAGACTTTGATGTATTAGCAAGATTAGTTAAATAAGGATGTAATCTAATTATAGCACAAAGTATTATTGTAATATGTAAAAAGATCAATGAAATGCGTATTGATTGCATCATTTTCTTATTTTGCTTGTTATAACAAAACAAAAATGTTACTGATACTTAGTTTTTTGTCTGTTTTTAGAAATATTCTAAAGGTATTATCTGATAATACATGAGACAATTTTATCTGCTGAAGAGATAAATTGAATGGCATAGTTTAAATAAACTGCATTCTCACTTGGATATGCTTTTCTTTTTCTATTTGTTTAGAAAATTTTTGTTTTAGAGCAATAAAAAAATATTAGTTGGATGCGTTATCGACTATTGTAGGATCAAATTAAAGAATAATGCTAGTATGAAAAATATTCAATGAAGATTTTAATTCAAAAATTGATAAATATTCAAATCAACTAAATTTATCCCAATCATATAGATAATTAAATATGTATTCTTTTAAAAAATCCTCTTTTTCTTTTAAGAAAAAATTAGATTATAAAATTTCTTACCTCAGCTTTCGATCACACCCATTTTAATCAGTGTCACATAACGCCCTAACCTTCGAAAGATTAGGCATGCCATAACATCATGTCAATGAACTAATTGATAAGTAGTCATTTGTGTATTCATCGGATCAACATTGCAATTTTTAGTTCAACAGAGATTATATTGAAATTCGTATAAGACAACATATTGTTGATCTTTTCTGAGCTTTATTCACCATCGTATTCAATGTGCATATATACATTCTTTCCAACTATTTGTCTGCCCCCACTTTTCTCTCGCTTTCACGTTCTCTTTCAATTATTCAAATAGATAATTGATTGATTTTTCACATACACACATATGCGTACAACTGCTATTGTTCTGTATTTTACATCACCATTCCCATCGTATTTTGTGTTCAATAACGATCGAAAAGAAAAAGTGAACGCTAGTGTAAAAACTCGTGTGTCCACTAGTTCATACATAACAATTAATAATAACCCTAAAAGAACAGCAAGTCGTCTTGCTTGTACTCTATACACGATACAGACATCAAGACAGATAGATTGATAGATATCACAAACGACAACTCTCCCTTATTTTAATTGGACACAATTACTACTTCGATGATGATGACAGAAAAATACTGTCGACTACCACCAACACCACCATCATCATTTTCTTGTTCAACAATATATCATACGCCAACAACAAAACATCGTATACATGAAATAAAAGATCGTCTTCATTGTCAGAAAAAACAATTATCAACAGTACTTGAACAAAATAATATGAAATTATTACTAAAACAACCACAAACAATACGAACATATTCATTATATGATGTACAAGATCGTATTGATTATTTTGAAAAGAAAAAATTAACGGATGATAGCGAAAATAATGCCAAAGAAAAGAGTAAAATTATAAAAAAAAACAACATCAGATATAAATTTTCTCTTCATTTCTAGCCGTTTCTCATCCTTCATTGACAACATCGTCTGAAACATTACAATCAGTTATTGCTAATACATTGCAACAAACATTTTTCAATCACGAGTCTTATGGTAGTGCTTTATCACGTACGATGATGAATTCAAGAATACATGATAGTTTGATTGGTAAACGCCGAAGCCTGTCAAGTAGCCAACTGATCTCTACGAATGACCAGAAAAGATTAAATCGTTTTTATCCATCATTATCTAAGCGAGTACGAACGTATTCTCTTTCGAATCATACAACAATGGCTATCGCCACGACAACAACGTTTTCGGAAGACCACAATACTGAACATCAAGAAACAAATAGTAATGATCTTGAAAATACCTATTTCTATCCGGAAGAAACAACTCGATTAGATGATGGCATATCACTTACAACAATTACGTCAAATTTTCCAGTTAAAATAAAGAATGCACAACACGACGTTAGCGTTTGTTCAGATACAGCTGTTTCGCAATCAGACACAGAAGAGAATTCAGAAGCAATAAGACCTGCTGATCAAAATCTTAATAATACATATGATATCAATATGGTGATTGATACGCAGTAAGTTAAGGTTATCTACTAGTTTAGGTCGTTTCAATGTTTCGATAGGATTTGTTTAGAAAATAAAGCTCAGAAACGAAGTTCGTCTGGTTCGTTTACACGGTCAACAGATGAATTGTTTTTAATAAGATTTTCCAAAGACGAGTACAATTGCGAGGTAGCAAAAGATAGAATCTGCCAAATACTGATCTGAGCATTTTGCAATGAATTTCTCTTTAAATCGCTTAGAATAGCACAGTTAACACAATATTCTGAATCCATTCAATTGAGATAGATTATCTTTCTACCTTCTGTACTACACATATATTTCTCATTCGCGCTCTTTCGTTGTAGATCATAGAAATCGAACTCGCTTAGAAAACTCTATGAACTGAAAAATTTGTAATTTAAATAAGTTCTATTCTTGAGAAAATTAACAATTTGTTTTTCATTTTCAAGACAAACTACAATTTGGATCCATGAATTCTATACACGTAATGAAATTTTATCGAATACATAAGTTAGTTCTAGCCATTCACAAGATGAAAGCTGATTAATTATAGAATTATGTGCGATTTTCTCTATCAAAATGATTAGTGAAGACAGTTCTACAAAGTTTCATAAACAAAAAAATATTTTCCATCAATCTTATTTCTTGCAGTTTTGACTATTCACAGAGGCGTTCAGTAGTATTTCTATATCTCTTACGGTTCGAGCTGCATATTCTACACAAAAAAAAGAACACTATCATATTTCACCATTTCAATGATATAAGACAATAGACCTTTAATTTGGTTTTACACAAGATTAATTCATGACTAATTGATGTGGAAGTAGCGCTATTTCTTTTTGATCATTCTACACAATACTGACTAAAGTTATATAGTCTATTTAGGCTACTTACTATTCAACTGTGCACATGAAATTTCCCACTAAGACGATGTCATCTTTCAAATTTTTGACGAGCCTATTAATATTAATATCTGATTTATAGTGTCTCAGTTAAATCTTCTTTTGTTCTTATGTTAGAAATGAAAATAGCAACAATAATGAAGAACAAATTATTCGAATACGGCTTAGTTTAACACCGCCAGATGATAATTTTGCCGGTGTAGTTCATGCAAAAAAATGTACAGTTGTCAAAGAACAACAATGCTTATCCGATTATGGCAATGTTAATCATTGCTTTAAACAAGGAAATAAGATAAGGTCAAATATAGACGATGTCTCGTTAAATAAATCGATGACATCGTCTTTAACACATGGGCACAATCGAAGAGTTTCAACCGATGAACAGTTAAGTCAACAGACGGAGCGAGCAAATGATAACGAAAATAATGATGATGTTTATTGTAAAGCAAATCAACAAGCAATTGTTCATTCAATCAAGATGAATAATGATATTGAAATGATGATACGACAAGAAAATGATGATGACGATGGGCATTATTCAGACGACTCACATTACTCAGATGATTTAAGGTGAGTTTTATCAACAATTTTTGCATTCAACCATCACGAAGTGATAATTCTTTTTGATATTCGTCCTTCTAACGTTTACGATTATGTAACGTTTGCATATGTATAACAGCTCATTTTAATCAGATTATTAATAGTAGAAACGCCTTAAATCAAGACGATTCTCTTTCTCGTTCTCTTTAGATATTGTCACTAGATACTTTCAGTTTTCTGCATTCCTTTTTTTTTAATCTGCAAGTTATTCAAACAAAAAAAAACTTAACATACATACATGTATGCATAAGGCCTATCATTACACGCTGAAAAAAAAGATATAAATACCAGATAAAATCAAAATTTATTTCCTATCACGAAAAGAAGATCATATCCGATTTTCATCACATTCCTTAACATACATCCGTTCAGTTGGATTAGAAGTACATGCCTTTACTTCTTCCTCCTCCTACTAAGTACACGTTTTTAATACATTGCTTATGTAAACGGCAGCACAATTTTACGTTTTTCGTCGTCCTCTATTTTGTTTTCGTATGTGTACACACATACATATACATACACAAAGCAAGCCGTAAAATGAGCCTCTTCGTTTTAATAATAGCCAACGGTAGTGTGGTCCTAGTTGAGAATGATGCAACAACAAGAGTGAAATTACTTCTCCATCGGCATACTGTCAATCGATGATTGTGGTAGACACATATACGCGTAAACGCACAAAAAGAGAAGGTTCAACGAAGTAATTTTTATTCAGAATATACTTAACACACAAAAAATAACAACAAGACGATGACTATCTGCATGTAAGTGCGAATGAATTTAACTTTAGACTACTTAATACTACAGATCGTGAAAAAAAAATATGGAGAGAAACTGTTTCATTTTTTTCTGCTATTTCTTGCATCGTTTAACCTTCTGAGTGCAATGATTAACTATTTAAAATCAAAGCAGTTGCGTGTTTATATATGTACATTTCAACCTCTAAAATATACAAGAAAGCAAAAAAAAGAAGATAATTTGCCATTTTTTTCTTCTTCTTTGTTATAAATACTTCATGGGCATTTCTTTTTGCCAAGGTTTCGTTACTCTTGTCAAACAGAAATGAGATGTAAACTGAGAAGACATAGATTGTTTTAAAAAGAAGAGTCAGCTCATTTTACAGTGTTCTACGTTGAATATTCTAAAGAGTGACATTTACTTTTCATAATTTTACATATCAATCAATTTAGTTCGCTGTTGAGTGCGAGTTCGTTCTTATTTTCTTTTGAAATAGTTTATATACAAAATGAGCATTAAAAGAATAAGTTCCAACTATAGTTTACCGATGAGATTGAGATAAAAGCTGAGAAAGAAACATTCTTCATATTGACACAAATCATGATGGATAATCCCTAATTAAATAATAGCAATGTTATTTCGTATGATTTCCCTTGTGTGCCTTTTCTTTTCAATAAATAAATCGAAATCTATCGATTGACTATGTGATTTAGTCTAATAATTCCGCTATGCCTTGCATGTCGTTGTTATGATCATTTTTCAGTCTTTTCTCGATTTTTTTCGTCTTTTGTTTGCGTATATGCATATCTGTATGTTCAGTTGAACATTGTATGGATTCCATTTTTGTAGTTGTTCGTTTTCTCTTTCTCATTTTTTTTTCGCATAACAAATATCGAAATACAGTCGAATCCACTCGAGCGAAATGTTAATTGCTTCTTTGATATCTATTTATTATCAAGTATCAGTTTTTTTCTCTGATAAACTGATTTGTTTCTATAGGTACTCATCGGATGCGGCTCGTAACAGCTGTGCAAGTGACGATCTAAATAATACAAGTTCAACATTACGTCAAGAGGCTATTTCAATAACACGAGTTCGCTGTAAACGGCGTAAAACATGGATACGTGCAACAAGCTCACCAACACGATCTTCTACTACTAATAATAATAATACAAAATCTACATCCTATATTCAACAGTCGAATTTAAAAAAACCTCTTATTCAACAACTTTTATCAAATAATCAAGGTGAGAAAAATCTCGAAATTGGACATAGCAAAGAGCTAAATTGAAAGATAACAAATAGAACAGCTTTTCAGTTGAACGAGTTACATCTTGAAAATGAGTACAATAACACGGTCATTGCCCGATAACAGGACACACTTCACTCTGTCCTTTCTCCTTCTACTCTCTTTCTTTCTATGTTTGTTCGTATATATGCGTCGTGTTTGATCCAATTTTTTAAGAGTATAAAACATACGACAGGAAAAGAAGAAAAAAATTCAGTTCACCGGTTACTCTCGTTCTAGTTCATGGAACGAATGCTCGTCAAAACGCAAGCGTGAACTCAACGATAACAACAAAAACAGCTACATCTACGGTTCTCAATCAGACACGTGTTAAAACAACTACGGCCGCAATGTTGTTACACAACAATTCACTGATGTATGTTAAAAATTTCTCTATTGTTTCAAATAGTTCATTGAACTTTTATATTATTCTCTGCAAAACAAAAAGGAAATAAAAAAACATAAAAACTTAGACGCCATTGAATTCATATGTTTTGAGGGCATTTGCAACAAGTTGAATACGTTGATTCATAATCAATATGCTTTCTATTTCTCGTATTTAGTTCGAATAATAACAAAAACAAGAATAGTGAAGCACTTTCCTACGACTATATATCATTAAATGATGATTATCACTCGATTACAATCGATGAATCACAACAGCCGTCAAAAACAACTAGTACTCTAACTAAAGGTATAGTAACAACGTATCGAAGATAGTCTATTGTATGTACCAGTGAGAGTAGTAGAAGATTTTGCTTTTCTTTCTCGTTGAGAGATAAGAAACAAGCGACCACAACGACAACCATCTTTTTATTTCTAATCCCTTCCGGTCCGACTCTTACTCTTTTCTGTTAAGACGAAATAAGAAGAAGAAGAAGAAGAAGAAGAAGAAGAAGAAGCAACAGCACAGAAAGAATGAGGTATAAGAAAATAATCGCTGAATGAGTTAGATGTTTTATTATTATTTGCATATGTTCATATAAAGAAATTATAATCGATGTATCTAATTTCTCTACATTTATATTTATACAAATAGAAATTTTGTATGACAAATCCCTATGCACTAATATTGATCAAAAAGAAAAACAAATTAATATCAAGCCTAAGAAAAAATAAATCAAGACGAACACTTTCTCTCTCTCTCTCTCTCCCTTACTCTCTTCATTTTGCTATTAAAAATGACTAATCATTGTTACAGTATTGGCATTTATATTTGCTAAAGACACCTGTCTATACGATTTTTTTTGATTTTTTCTTCTTTTCTTTCATCGCCAATTTTTCTTAAGCAGGATACGTTGTCCCAAAAAAATCGATATATATATATATATATATATGGCGTCTCTTCCTATAAATGGCAGCAACTTGTTGAGCATTCTGCCGTAAATAATGCCGGTTGTATACTTTTATATTCAATGGAAAAATAATGATTTTTTTTCTTCTTCTTTGAATTACATATTCAATTGAGTTTTACTTCCCAACACATCTTTTTCTTCTATACATATATATATATCATGATTTTCTTGTACATTTAGATTCGTCATCATCGTCTAAGACGAACGATTTTTATCAAACATCATTGAGTCCGGTTAAACGCTTATTAAATGAAAGTATAGATTCAAATATTGAAATCATCCAAATGGATGAACAAGAATGTATACTAGAAATTGTGGACGGTGTTTTAACGATTGTACCAAAAGAAAAATCAATATCATCATCAATAGAAAGTAATGAAGAAAAAAATCGACAACAACCACAGATTATTAATTATAGTAAAATAAACTTTACTATGAACTGATATTTTGATTTTGATTTCAATTATTAAATAGATTCAACTCAACATCAGAAACAACGTTCATCATCAGTAGCTTCATCGATTTCAACACCCTCGTTATCCGAACATGAACAAGAACGTGATGATCTATCATCGTCTTCATCATCCCGTTTACCACCAAAACCATTTATACTATCACATGATATTCCAACAATAAAACCTTTGTCTCCTATTCCAACTGAACAATCAGCGGATGTTCTTGACTTATATTCAACTCCATTTATTTCAAATAACAACAAAATCCAAAAATCTTTACTTGATGATTCTCTATCATCAGTTTCATCAGGCAGTGATCGTCCAGTACAAATGAAAAAACAGCAATCAAATATTCTACGTTCATCATCGCCAATTAATAATAAATCGAAATCTTCATCAATCAAAGGTAAAAGAACAAAAAGAAAATCATTTTACAAGTATTTGCGAATAGATAACCTATACTCTTTTTTGGTCCATTGCATATTTGATAAGGTCAATTGGTTCTGCTGACTGACCCGTCGGCCATATCTCTCATAAAACTATTTTGAAATGAGAAAGTAAAGAATATAAGTCTCAATTGATTGAAAACAGGTGAAAAGAATCGACTAAGAGAACGAATAAAAAATGAATATATGTGTATATACATACGTACGTATATATGCATATCGATTTTAAATGATGCTCTCAACAGCTTATATTTCATATCGCAAGCACTGATCAAATCAGTTCATGTATATTTTATTTGTTGTTGTTGCTGAGACGCATACTTTTCTTTCTTATAATCTAATCGAGCGTCTCTATTGAAGATAAATATAATATTCTTTTTTTGTTTTTGTTTTTTACTTTACTCATCTCGCATTATAGACAGGATCTAGTGACTAACTCTTTTTTGTATTTCTTCTAATGACAAATTATAAGTTTTCTTTTTAAACGTAATTGTTCTATTTCGTATATTGATCCGACTACATGTAGAAAGGATTTAACACTGTAATTGTTGTTCGATGTTTATTTGTACATCTAGTATAATCTCGGCTACACGCTGACATTCTTCTTCCGGAGAGTATAAACATAGAAAGAAAGAGGAGGTTTGCGTGAATGTGGCGCAATTCTTCTTATGCTTACCGAATGCGGAGGTTTACCTATTCTTCTTGTTCTTTTGTTTATTGAACAATTGTTGCTATTCTAATCTCTTATTCTACTATGCAAATGTGGGGCGAGAATATAACAGGTCATTCGTTGTTTTATTCTCTCGTCTATCACTATTCCTGACCTGACTAGTGGACAAGCTGATATATATATATTAGCTTAATAGTGCCTCATCTAAACACTCACGCATCACATTCTATTTTCGCTTTAGTAAATCTCAAGAGAATAGTATGAGAAGCTAAACTACATAATTTAGCTGGCCATTTTAACAGTGAAGAAGTAGAAGTAGAAGAAGAAGAAGAAGAAGAAGGAAAAAAATAAATCTTGACAGTCTCGTCGACCATGAGCGAAAAAAGACGATTCTATTTTTTTCTGCTTTTTCTTTGTTGGTCTCTATGTCATTTTTTTTTCTTTCTTTTTTTTTTGACCGCATCTTTTCCATCTTTAATAATCACGTCACATCATGTCTTTCTGCTATATTTAGACACCTCGCCATCAACCGTCGAAAATCAGACGCATTCAAATAAATGTACTGTTCTTAGCCAACTACTGGAAACAGTTAAGCGAGTTTCGCCAACCATTGAAGCGGACAGTGAAAAACCGAAATTAGATTATTCATTGCCTAAAACTGAATCAATACCAGTTTCGAAGTCAGATTATTCATTACCTAGATCTGATTCAATACCTGTTTCGAAATCAGATTATTCATTACCTAAACCTGAATCAATACCAGTTCCCAAGCCAATTAATAAAGCTCGTATAAACGAATTTGCATCTCTCTTATCATCATCGGTTCACTTATCTCAACCGCAGCCAATTAAAAAATCAACCACAGCAATAAAAACAATCTCATCACCAACACATTCAGAAGAGCAAACATTTACATCGGTACAATCATTAAATAGCGATCGGGAAGAACGTGAATCATATCATACAGTAGTATCAAATAATTCCGAACAAGAACAAATTAAAAAACATATTGATGCACGTTATAATGATAAATTAGATGATCGTGGCTCTATTAAAATAAAAACAGCAAATATAAAAGCTTTATTTGAACAAAAAATTTCCGATACAAACAAAGCATTATCGCAATCAACTGAACATTTATTACATTTAACTGAAATTAAGCAAACACATAAAAAAATACCGATAAGTTATGAATGTTTAAAAAGAAATTTACCAAATTATCAGCCAGTAGTAGCGAATAACAATAAACGAAATTCATTTCAAGACTCTTTCACTATGAATAAATTTAATGATCATATTGTTGGAACAAAAGATGTTGTCATTGAAGATAAACAGGTAGGCTTCAGATTATGTCAACATGAGGTTTCAATAAGAAGATAGTTACTAATAACTTGACTGTTTTCAATCTCGAACAAGTTTTGATAAAACTAAGAAGCCTACAAAATAGAAAGTGTCCATCTCAAGCATGTCTAGAATTTCAGTAACTCATCAAAGTCTGGATCAAACACCTTTTGCTGATAAAAACTTATCACTTATAGTTAGCTGGAGCAACATGCAGGGCAGTATCCGATAGATTTCGGTCTGGGCAAAGCGTTTTCAGATTTTAGTTGATGATAAATCCTTTTCTATTTGTTGAGTCATCTTCCCTCAATTATTATTTAAAAAATAACTCGTAGAAGGTCAACCAATATTTAACTAGAATTTTAAATTCCGGTTGACATTATCTTTTTCTCTCGTAGTCTCGGTAACTTCTATTCTTTATAGTTCTACACATTTGTAATGAGCTGATTTAGTGCATGTCAAGCTTTCACATAGCCATAAATGGCTATTTTATTTTATTCAATAGTTGTATAATTTCTTGATAGAGTTCGCAAGTTTTAAATGTTAGATCGAATTTCATTTATACAAATATTGTTCAATTTAGAATGTGTTTATAAAATTGTGCGTTCAAGTCTTTTGTTAAAGAATCTATGAAAAAGCTCAGAAGAAAAAAGCATTCATTTTAATTATCTTTTCTATTAGTATTTTTATTTGACAAAGAAGCCGAGAGGAAATATCTCAGTCGCCACCAGATTTCAAGTCTGTTGTTTTTATTCCTTCACTAGTGCTATTTCTAAGATCAATGTGAACCTAGTAGAGTTTAAAATTTATTCTACTTTGTGCCTGCGCTTCATAACATTAATATTCACATTCTGTGAGTTTTAAATCATTCTGTCTAATGATTCAAACATCACACATATGCTTTTTTCTATTTTATGACGCTGATTGATCGACTAACTTGGATATGCTTATTACGAATTGACTTCTACGATGTCAATGAAATAAACTAGTTAACATAGGAACGTATAGCTTATCTTCTTTTTTTTCTAGCATGAAAATGGTCATGGGGTTCAACTTCGTCGAAATACATTTGATCAAATAGTTCATTCAACAACTAACTCGTCATCGAATTCTCCTGTACTATCAACAAACGGTCATAGTTCAGAGTCATTACTTGCTCGAGAAATACGTGAAACCAAAGAAAAAGAAGAAGAACTAAAACGGCAACGAAAAAAATGTGGTCTTGCTGACGATGGAACTAGTTCAACATTAAATTCTACTAATGACTCAATGAAATCGGAATCTACATTATCAACCAATCCACCCGTTAAAAGTAGTTCATTTTTATCCAATCTAGATTTTTTTTCATCAAAAGCCAATGGCTCTTTAAATGAATCAACATCAACAATAACTTCTCCACGCCGTTCAATAGTTTCAACACAAAATCTCATCTATGATTCACACAGTTCATCATCGTCAACATCATTATCAAATCATGGCCGTCAAACATCGAACGATGAATTAAAACAAGTAACAAATGTTGTTTCTCAAGAATTGAATCGTTTCAATGAAAATGGTATATCAATACTTCGTACATGTTCAATCAATGGAACACTCTATCGTTCATCATCAAATCAAAATATTGTTTCAACACAAAATGTCAATAACATCGTTCAGCGTGAAATCGAAGCTATACGTGCTAAAGAAGCAGAATTGCGACAGTTAGGTCGTATTCAGCATACAAGCGATGAACATGCCGATCCTAGAAAATATCAAGAACTGATTTCAACATTACCAAAAAGTCAATCAATAAGTACACTCTCATCAGTAAAACTACGACGCGATAGTGATAATCAACATCTATCACGTCATCATGTACCATTAACTGCAACAACAAATGGATTTTTAAAACCTAAAACAAATAATAATATATGTAAGAGAATTATTTTTATTTTAAAATTTGATTTTAATTCTGAGTCATTCTAGCTGTTTCATCAATACGTGGAAAATTTCCAAGTCCAAATCCTGCCGCACCCGTTGTTAGTTCATCGAATGGTTCCAATGATCTTTCGAAGTTATCATCCATTGATCGACTTGAATTAGAAAAACGACAGTGCCAAGAACGAGAACAAGAATTAAAGTAATTTTATATGCATGTTGAAAAGTCTTATAGTGTGTAGCCTTTTATTTATGAATTTCATCAATATTTGATTGATTGATGGGTTGTTGTTCTTTTTTTTTTAAGTTATAACAGTGCACAAATCTCTTTTGGTTGCCGAATATTTTACTTCAAAGACAAGTACCCTTCACGAATAATATTGATCTTTTTACGAAGTTTCAATTGAATCTGTAAAATAATTTTAATATGAGAAGAGAAATTATTCTAGAGCGTGAGATTGATTGTAAATCAACATTTACTACACAACATCACTGTAAATGATTTTTTTGTAACTAAAATAACATGACGAAAAATTTCTTTGACTGCAATAACATTGCGCAGTGATGTCAAAACAACAAACAAATCGTGTTATTTTCTCCTTGGATGTGATTTTGTTTGATTGTTTGATATATAAATAGTTTTATTTATAACATGAAATCTTGATGATAGAGATGATTGATAATTTTGCGAGAATAAAATCTTTGAAAGTCCTCGAATTTTCTAGCTCTTCCTCATATATGTTGATCAAGTTACAGCAACCTTGTGCAAGAGAGGAAATTGTTTTTTCTTCGATTTTCCTGTAGCTCGTGAAAATGTTTTTAAAATCTTACATCTTTTTTCCTTTATGAACAATCGTTTATTCTATCCATCTGAGTAGTTCAAAAGAAATTCTCTTTTTTTTTGAATTTGAAAAGCTGAAGAGCTTGCTTTTGAATTTTCCAGAGCACTTATTCTTATGAAACTTGTAGCTATTTTTATTTTCAAAAAAAAATAGTTTTAGACAGTAGGATGTGCTACATAAAAGATTCTTTAGATTCTTATTAGTATTGATGACCAGTGAAACTAAGCCTGTCGAATTATTTTTGGAAGCCACTATAAACTTTTACTCAGAATCTTTAGTTACTTGAGATAGACTTATTAAATTAAACATAGGTCCTAAAACAGAATAATGCCCCAAACAGAGAAACTAGACCGACCCTGAAGCAAAGAGCATCACCTCAGCTCGCATCAGGATCCAGAGTCCCTCATAGTAACAGCCTGTTAGTTTTTCTGTTTTTTCAAATTTTCAATTGATTGATCATATGAGTCAAGATTGATTTAGAATTCATCACTTAATTTCTAGAAAACAACGCAATTCAATAACCGCTAGTATATCATCAACAAATACAACTATCAATGGTGATTCAGGTAATGTCTCACAAGAAGAACATGACGACGATCAAGAACGATATTTTGATAAAATCGAACGAATAAAACGAAAGGAAAATGAAGTAAATAAAACATAACGAACGATATTTCTTTTTCATATTCAATATACTTCTGTTTTTCTTCCTAGAAAGCTCATGCACCAATAATTCGTCCGACAAAGAAATTAGATATGTCGCAAAAATGGGAACAGATGATGTCAAACAAAACTGATGATTAACTATTTCAGAAGAACATTTCTGATAGCCATTCCGTCGATTTGTTGTACTTTTAATTAATTTTGATTTGATTTCTTTTTCTCTCCTGCTTTGATGTAGATACTCATTATTAAATTGAAATTCTTCATATACCACAAAAATAAAAAAATGAAAAAATAAAATTTTGCAAGTTTTGAAGTAAACTGTGCTTATTGTATGTCGATTTGTTCATCTTTACTATTCCATATTTTTCTTTTGCCAAGTTTTCTGTTTCATCAACCATTCTTCTTTTCTGTACGCGTATGTGTTCGATTGAGAAAAAAAAAACAAGAATTATTCTTTTCAATTTTATCGTTGTTCTGTAATAATAAAGACAAAATTTTGGAATTGAATTGACTCGGAATTTTCTAAAAGCGCCAGCAGATGAAATTCAAATCGTTTTATAATTCATGAAATTAGAATTCACTAAAGTTGTTAACTGAAATGAAACCGAAATCTTAGACCACTGCTTTTTCTGTTTGTATTGATCAAATAGCAATGGTGACCTAACTTTGAACTAAATAATGAACGGGAACAAAAGCGGTTAATGTAAATCTACTTGTTAGACATTAACAATAAATAAATAGAACGTGACGATTGTATTCATGATGATAAAAACGTATGCCATTTGGTTTGACATTGGCTTATGGTAATATTGAAACTGTCAGTCATGAAAAAAATAATTTATTGATACCTTGATTGTTTTTAATATGAATTTCTTTTATCGAAGGCAAGAATTTTAAATATATTCAGTTTTATATTCATTCTATTTCTTTTACGTTCTCCTCATAGGATATAAAAATGACAGCATTTTTTTATGCAAATTTCAATTGCTCTTTCAAAGGTCGCCGTCTATGACGAGGTCGTGTCTTTTGCTAATATTTATCTAGATAATCAACGGTTTTTGATATATTCAAGTAGTCATTAATAGAAGCCAAATATCGACACACTCGATATTCTACCACTGCAAATAAGCCATTTTATTACAAAAACAAAATACTAGAACAGTTTCAAAACTGTCTGATAAGGTTCTGAACTTGCCGAGTTCTTATTGAAATCGAATTTAGAATCGAGTGATAGATAACAAGAAGAAAACTTAATGAATAACTTGTTACTCATGAGCTTTAGATAAAAACTGAATAAAACTAGATGGTATTCAAGTTTCACTCGAACACGAAATGCGATGCGAAGCTCGAATCGGATCTTCACGAAAAATTTTCAATTCAGAGAAATCTTGAATACCTTTTTATGTCGACATGATGAAATTCATCACTGAGAAAACTCTATTCTTACTTAGCGATACATTCTTAAGGATCGATTTCGATTGATCGATTAATTATCATCATGATTCATTATCATAGATCAGCTGGAAATGAATAGTCTATAGTGGATAACATATGTTCATGACGTCACTTTAATTATCGCTTGATAAATTTCTTTCATTTTCGTCATTTCGGAACCACATTTGTGAGCGAACGGAACGTCAGTTTAAAGATTCGAAAACAGATGTAAGCAGTTCGATCTCGATACTACTATCTTGCGTTTAAATGAGGTTTCTACGATTTTTGGTTCTCGAGATCATAGAGTCACAAAACGACAGAAAAGATGCGTACGGTCAAGTAAAAAAGAAAAAAAAACTAGATGGTATTC